GTGAATTCGCCTGATTTAGCTCCGTGCTACTTCTGGCTCTTCTCCAAACCCATAAGACCGCATCGGAAATAATGTGTCGCGTCGATTAAAGGGACTCAAAGTGAATCAGCTGGCGTTTTGAAGGCCTCAACAGAAAGTGACCTTTCGGCATGCAGCGAGGATTGGGAGAAATCTTAGCATGAGTGCATTATATCGATATGGGATTGCTTTAAAGGATGTGAAATTTATTTTTAAGAATTAAATAATTATTTTTTTTTGATGTTCGAACTATATTCATGAAGAATTTGCCCACATTTTTTTAAATGTCGTCCGTACCGCACAATGAGGGCGTAAAATGTCATTTAAATTTCAAATTTTAACAATCACAGATAAATTTTATACAAGCGGTGAACAGAAACAGAACACAGCAGGTATTTTCTACAAAAACAAAAAAAAACTCAGCAATTAGCAAAAGAGAATCGCATTTTTCAATAAAGTAGTCAAAGTCCAAATGCTTTGTAACGGTGTTGGTTAATGAAACTCCGAGAAAACAATACTAAGAATATATGTAAACACACAGATATGAAAAAGCCACGCATCCAGCATTTGTTTTTTTTTTTTCTTTTTTTTCATTGTTATTATTTTTTTAATTACATTCAATTATCTTTTCACGCGATGCGCATTACAACACGAAACGAAAATTAGAAATTGTTATTGAAGAAAAAAAAGGAAAAAAAAGTCAATCATTAATCTTCAGAGCCAAACTGCGCTAAAATTCCAACCGTACAATTATATAGGTTGTTCTTCTAGGCGTCTGGCGAGGCAATACCGTTTTTGGCGTTGATCTATCCCACAGCTGTTACTTGATTTATGCTCTGTTTGCCATCGAAGACGCTATTGCTGCGGTAGAGCAGAGTAGCGAAGAAAAGCCGAATGACCCCATTCGCTCATCCAGTTTATAGAAATTTTTGCAGGAGGTTCTGGGTTTGCGGGCTTACAAAATCTAACTCGGGCAAGCGTGTCGTATGTGCGGTGCATGGGACCAAACGAAATCCCCATTTTTATATGAAATTTTGTACAGCGATAAAGCTCACTTTCGATTGAATGTGTACGTTAACAAAAAAAAATTTTTGCATTTGGAGTTTTGTTAATCTAGAAGGCATTGTTGAGAGCCCGATCAATCTTGAAAGAGTCACTGTTTGGTATGATCTATGGCCAGAGAGCATCATTGGTACATATTTCTTTAAAAAAGAAACTAGTCATAATGTTGATGTGGATGACTCCTGGTTCCAACAAGACGGTGCTACATGCCACACAGCCAACGAAAAAATTAATTTATTGAAGAAAACCCGCCTTGTGTCAGACCGTGGGCCTGTGGCATGGCCTAACGGAGCAGGCAATCTAACACCGCTGAACTATTTTTTGTGGGGCCTTTTATGAAGTCGCTTCTCCACCCAGATTAGCACGAGACGATTGACGCCTTGGAAGATAATATTCGGCCCGTTATCTCTGACATGCGACCCCAATTGCAGCAGAAGCGGTCGGTAATTGGGCCGCACGATAGGAATTTATTCAAACCAGCCGCTGTCACTTGACCGAAGCTCTTTCCAAAACATAATGGCAAAGCCGTATCTCTATAATGAGCTAAATTCTTAGTCATAACAGTAGATTATATGCGTTTTATTTTTTCTTGATCTCACATGCCTAAAAGAAAGACCCTTTACTTATAAAGCTATTGAGCTACGAATTTGTGTGCTGTGGCAGACTCGTATTTATTGCGCTACATTCTTTCGATTTTGCTGAATCATAAGTGCTACGCTGCTATAAGTATGTATATGTACATATATAGGGTATGTACTTGTACATGCAAAATGTATAAAGGCTCCGTCTCATGGAAAAAGAAACTTATCTTTAGGAGCATATTCTGTTATCAAGAGCTGTTGCTGAGAGCAGTCTTTTGAAGGTTTTTCTTAGATTACCACCCTTTATTTTTTATCGTTTATGGTGTGGTCAAACAAATTTTGGAATATATGGCATATAGAGCCAGCGCAATGCATTAATTTGCTAAATTTTTTGAAAATGATTTACCTTTTACCAATTTACGACACTCTTAATAGAGCTAAAAAATAAAATATAAATTGTTTTGAGGTAGATTTCTGTCAATTTTTGGTTGAAAATAAACAATGTGTCAAATTGAATGACAGTCATATGGAAAGAGGCGAGAACTGTTGCTGAGTTAGGTCATTTGAAAGGTGTATCCTTCAGTGAAAAGTTCTTTACTTATTACTTTTCAGTGAAGAATACACCTTTCAAATGACCTATCTCAGCAACAGTTCCAAACCGTATACTTTCTGTCGTTTGTAGGACATTTATTTCTTAAAGAATTTCTTCCAACTGTGATTTGAGTGGTTTTGTTGCGATAGTATGAAATGCTGGCTGTCTCATATCCCTGGTGTAAGGTCCTGAAAATAGATGCAAACTTGCCTGATCTCATTAAGGGGTTACATAGTGCAGGTCTTGAAACTTCAAAAAATGCATTTATTTGAAAAGTTTTTGTATAAAAGTATAAGGTGCCAGCAATATTTTCCCCAAGTTTCAATTCGATCGAAACGAAACTGTAGAAATTAGGGAGTTTTATAACCCGCCGTCTCTGTCATGGCTTCAGCGATGACTTGACTTTAAACGCGTTTTTCTCAAAACCACTTTCTCAACGACTTTTAAAGCGATGGAGTTCAAAGTTCCCACACCACACTTGGCATATTTTTATAGTCCCTGAAGTAAGGATTTATTTTATCTTTGATTTCTACTCATTTTACAAGCCAATATGGGGCCTAATTTTGTGCAAAAAACTACATTTTTTGTGAAAAACGCTATAAAAAATTCAATTTTTTAATTTCTCTTCGTTCAGGAAAAAGAACAATTCACCTACTTTAAGAAAAAATATGGATTTTTAATTTCAGATAAAAAATGAAAAAGTTATCCTGACTACCGCGAAAGCACTTACTTGTGGACGGTCTACTTTACGACACTGCCAACGCCTTAAGTTATGCTATTTTTCATTCAAATTTTCATTAAATGTTGTTCACATATTGTACTTTTATATGTAAACAAAATAAATTGTATACTTTATTTAGTATTTAAAAAAAAAATTAGAGAAAATAAGCTTTTTTTTTTTGGCCTTCATGAACCATCTAACTCTTTAATCCAACTTGGTGCCGGTGAAAAGTTCATTTTTGACTTAATAAAGTCGCAACTATCTCATTTTGCCTGCTTCTTATTCACGTATAAAATACATACATACATAACTCTTTAAAGTAAATTTTTATTTTCTTTTTCTTCAAGAAAAAATAACAGTATTCTCATATTGAAACAATTTAAAAGGTGATGACCGTAATTTTAATGATGCGAGAAACCTATAAGATTTCCATTTAACGATGTGTTAAATTAAGTAAAGCATTGTTTGTGAAGTAGATGGAAGCTGTAAATAAAATAAAATAATTTTGCTGAATATTATATGTTTTTTGTATGTTTTTAAGCAATTTCGTTTTCTCTGGGACAATTGTTGTATAAAAATAAACACTTGTTGCTTATTGTACTTCCCTGACTGTAGCATGCGATGACGCGCTCCAGTTACTCCATAACTACACTACATCACTTGTACATACACAGATGTCTTAATTTTCATGTGCTAGCAAAATATAAAGGCTTCACCATTTAGTTTATCTCCTCTTCAATCTGTTTTCAATATATACAATATATGCAAATTGGAAATTTTTTCACGCTGGATATTTTTTTATACTTTTTAAGATCGAAGATGGTCGGAGCCAGCAAGTAAAGCAAGTAACAGTTTATTCTGTCTACTATCCATGATGCCTGCTACACAGCAATTTAGTGGTACGTCCTGCGTTGAAAGAGTTTCCAAATCCATGAGTGTTCCTATAAGGTCCACTGTTTTAAACAACATTTAAAATCGCTGTAGGGTCTGGGGCAGTCGATGATAACAACATTGCCATTCATACGCCTTTTGATTGCCTGCATCCGGGTTATCTTAGGTCCAAGTCTAATTCGTTGTATTTTCCCGCGATGGACTTTTGCGTTGCAGCTTGATTTTTTTTCCATAGAAATTGGTCGGCACCTTCACTAATGCCTATAAGCTGTGATAGGAAAACAGAGTTGTAGCGATTGAGTTCGAAAATACTTTATCTGCTCCTGTAACTACCTAACACTTAGACCCATCAGTATACAATAGTTATGGATATCTTCACTGCTTCCTTTGCCAGCATACGAATATAAGCCTTTCACATCTTTGAAGGGCGGAAGGTATCCGATTTTCGGTAGCTTTTCGTTTAGCTCCATTTCTGATACAATCTTCTAAATGTCGGGATGACCTTTACAATTTGGAGACTAGACCAAACTGTGCAGGACATTTAGGCGACTAGCTGTTATCGTATGAAGCAGTGCTGTGTATATGTTAAATGGTCTAATGTCAATGATGACTTCTAAAGCTTGCCGCAATAGCTCTTTTGCAGGTTTTCCACAGTCGAAGCGCTTTGGATTGAATCTAATTTCCTTCTTGTTTTTCTTTCGTAATTGTGATCTCGTCTTCAGCAAGATATGCTGGATGTTCATAGTCCATCTCGCAGTAGTCTAGTATAGATTGATATGAGCCCAAACCACAAGGGGTTTCGAATTGTTGCTTATGTTTCTAGAATGTTGTTTAGGTTCTTATTATGACAGTAATCTTGACAATGGCGTTGGAACTAATGTCTTCCAGAATACTCCTCCTAAGAATTTTCAAAAAGATATTTGTAATCATTAGATATATCTAAGAGAGTGCTGGGCGTCCTTAGGTTGGCACATTATTTAGGTTTTTATATAATTTTACTAACTATTATTGTGTCGCGAGTCTCATCTAATGATGAATCATTTTTCTTATAGAACCATTTCTCTATAAATTATAAAAACAGCAAATTCTGAAAAATTTCAAATAATAATTTTTTTCCCCGCTTCTATCATTTCAGAATCCCAATCTCCCCGCCAATGCCTCACCATTCCGTCGTGCCTGGGGTCAATCATCCTTCCGCACGCCTCGCACTGACAAACACGCCCATCATCAGCTGCAATTGCAGCAACAATCCGGCCAACATCAGCATCTCAGTCCATTAGTGCGACGCAACGCATCGATGACCGCCTCCGACAACGATGTCTACATCAAGTCCATACATCACAATGACTACCATGATGAGCTCAAGCAAACCCAGATAGCAGCGGCCGCGGCAGCACTGGTTGCCGCAAGAAATGCGCATGCAGTGGCGGGTACAACAACGTCAAACCACAGCAGTATCAGCAACAGCAACAACAACAACAGCAGCAGCAGCAGTAAGAACACAAACGCCCACTTAAAGATACCACAACTGAAGACGACATTGGCACCACCCACAGAAACTGGTGTCACTGGTGTTGCTGCCTGGGGCACCGCATTTGAGCGATTGCTGGAAGATCCCGCTGGCATGCACACATTCGGCGAATTCCTGAAGAAGGAATTCTCCGCAGAGAATATCTACTTTTGGACCGCTTGCGAACGTTACCGTGCGCTAGAGAGCAGCGCTGAGCGTGCTGCTCAAGCGATGGCCATATTCTCAAAACATCTAGCCAATGGCGCATTAGAGCCCGTGAATGTGGACTCTCAGGCGCGTAATTTGACACAGGAGAAATTGGACAGTGCCGAGCCAGATATATTCGCGCCGGCGCAGAAGCAAATATTCAATTTAATGAAATTCGACAGCTACCAACGTTTTATACGCTCCGACATGTACAAGAGTTGCCTGGAGGCGGAGGAGAAGCGGCAACCATTGCCGTACAAAGCAGAAGATTTAGATGAATTACTCAAGACGCCAGCGCATCATGTGAGCACTGTAAGCAGCATAGTCTCAAAGGTCAGTACTTTAGTTAGTTTAGATTTGCTGGCAGTGGGGTTATAAATGTGTGTCTTTTACATTGCAGTTGAAGAAGTCCGCCAGCAATGCGGAGGATCGTTGTCGCAAAAGTTTGCTGCCTTGGCATCGTAAAACGAGCTGTAATAAAGCGCCACGTGATGCAGCGGATGGCACAAGTGAGAGTAAGACTGCCAGTAATAAGCACGCGCCACTCTCTAGTCACTCACTGAAAGTGGCGCCCACACACAATTCCCAAAGCGACATACACAGCTCGCGCTCCTCGCTCTCCTCCTTCGATGGCCTACCCGGCGCTTCCATATTGCCCGGCACATGTCGTGTCATTCTGAGTGACGCGTCCACAACGATGGTGCAGGTGCGTGCCAATGAAACCGTTGGTCAATTAGTCGAACGTTTGCTGGAGAAGCGTGGTCTTAGCTATCAATACTACGATGTTGTAGCCAAGGGCACCACAAAATCTATTGATTTGCAATCCCACTCTCAAATGCTGGTCGGCAAAGATGTGCAAATTGAGCAGCGAGTTGCATTCAAAATGGATTTGCCCGACCGCAAAGTTATCTCTGTGAAAAGCAAGCCCAAAAAGCAACTACATGAAGTAGTACGCCCGATTCTGCATAAATACAACTATGACATCGATGCGGTACAAGTGGTGCTGCGCGAAACACAAGAGCCAGTCGACTTGTCTTTGGCTGTGACATATGCTGATGGTCAACGTTTGCAGGCGATATGGCTAAAGCCACCGACTCTGCTGCACACCAGCGTTTATCAAAACGGCAATGGGTGCGGCGGAAAAGTTGCCAAAGCGTCATCAACTGGGCCGAAGAGCGTTTCATTTCCGAGCGTAGTGAAGCAAACAAATGGCGGCGGCTTGCGGTCGTCGAATGGCAATGGTGTATCAGTGAATGCACTACCATCCCATGCAGCACAGAGTGCGTTGGACGAGATCACGAACAAAGTGTTTACCGAACTGATGCAAGTCAAAGTGGAGGCAGCGAGTGCAGAAAAGTCTCAACCCCTGTCAACGTTCAACAACAAGGTTAACGATCATGCTTCGCTTAAGGTGCGCTAGAACACTTTCGCTCAAAATTTATTTAAAAAAAAAAACAACAAGAAATTGCATATATGTATGTACTAATGTAAAAATTTCTAATTTCTCAATTAGTCCGATGACTGCGCTTCGGAGACTTCTTCGATCTTTGAGCGCATACGCCGTCGCGACACCAATATTCAAAGTCTGAAACTAAAACTAAAGAAACGCTCGACAAGTAGTCAACATTCCGAGGAGACAAACCAAAGCAATCATACAACGGCTAGTACTGGCCAATTGTCAGCACCAACAGTGGTGAGCAATGCAGTGTTGGATATAAAGAAACCTATTATTGCAAAACTAAAAGCAGGTGTGAAACTACAAATGCCGGAGCGAGTAGCTGAAAATCAAGGTGAGTAAATGAAAAATATCAAATCTCGCTTTAGCTCATTACTCTCTTGCCTGGTTGGCAGAGACGAACATCCTCACTTTATTAATATTTGCTTGCTTCATGCTTTTCACAGATGAACTACTCGAGGGCCTAAAACGCGCCCAAGCCCGCTTGGAAGATCAACGCGGTACAGAGATTAATTTCGAACTGCCCGATTTCCTAAAGAATAAAGAAAATCTCAATGCCTCCAATGCGCTGCGTAAAGCGCGTGCCAATCTAAGTCCCATCACCAAACCACCCGCACATGTTGCCATTGCAGCTAGTGAGGAGACACCCCAACCACCAACACCGCAACAAGAACGTCCGCAGCCCGCGCCACGTCTTTCTATAACAAATAAATTGAAAGCCAACACACCTGCAACACCCGTTAAGCAAGAACAACAGGAGACAGGTTCCCAAACAACAACCACACCGCAGGCCAACACTTCAAACTCCTCATTGGAATCTGAATACGGTGGTGGTACAACGGCGACAATTAACAATTGCAAGGGTCCACCGCCTCTACCACCCAAACCCAAAGTGTTACCCATTAAGCCATCAAATTGGGGTGTCGCTTCCAGTTCATCAACGAATACATCGCCCACAACACCCTCATCAGCATCTTTAGCATCATTACCGATGGCGTCACAAAAAAACTACACTACAGTTGGCTTGTCTAACACTGTCACGGCCGCGGTGGAAGATGCCCCAATGCTGTTACATGTCGCGAGTAAGCATTTTACTGCTAACGAAATGGCGCCACCGCGTAAGTCCCATTTAAGTATTGCGACTGAACCGACGCCATCGGCGCGCTGTGCTTATCTCGAAGAGCCGAGTAGTAGCTTTGTTTGAGTGATGGGAGAGAGAGAGAGTAAAAGTGAAATATTATTAGAAAATTACATGACTTCCAATCCCCTTTTCCATTCCATTTCATTCGTCTCCCCTTTGCCAAAACCTATTGCGCATGCCTATTTAAGTGATATCTACTGGAGAAAGTATATATAAGAGCAAAACTCATCAATTAATGCTTATATTTACTTACATACATACATGTAATTGTATATCGTGCACACTTGCTTATTTATTCGCATTTCTCATTTTAATCCATTGATATTATACAATTATGATTTTATCAACTTAATTGTAAATATTTAATTTAGCATATATTTTATTTGTTAAGAATATACTTACATATATACATACAAACATGAAATATCTACTAAGTGTTTTGAAGCAACTCCAAACCTTTAAAGAAATTAGTCTCGTCTACAACTATTCACCAATGGTATTTAACGGATATTTTGAACAATGTTAAGTTGGTATTTATACAAAAAATATATATTTTGTAATTGTACATATGTATGCATACCACGAAAACTGCGAAATTTTAACGAATAAAGGATTTTTATAATACAATTTTAATATCTATTTGTTTTATTTTTTTTACAGCAAATTTTACCTTTTCAAACTTTGTCTTTTCCAGAATAATTTTATTTTAAGCACTTTGATATTTTAAAATAAAAGTACCGATCTGTTTAGCGATGCAAGCATTTGGCTAGAACTCTACGCTTTCTGATGTGATCCCCATTAAATTTCCGCAGAGAACTTAATATAACACAGAATCTATAATAACGAGAAGGTGCATATGGCTTTCTGTTTCCTGTTCGAATTGTACCTTCGTACAGCTTTAGAAAAAACGGGAAGGGAATTCAACTCACTGTTAAAACAGCTAACAGGTTTTGAAAAATTAACATAGGGGAAGAAGTTAAAAGATGTAAACCTATTTAATTTAATAGAATATAATTTTTTGCCATAACTGATTTTTCCTGATTTTTGACGAAAAAGACATTTAAGATATTATTATAGATTCACTGGTTTCCGCGTTAATTGGCTGATAACGCCTAAAAGTATGCATTGAAATGTTGATTTAATGCAAGGCATATATAAAACGACTAACTATATATAACAGAGAAGGCCGATTTTTATTTTTGTAGTTTCGCTATTTAGGTAACAAATTGACATTTGTGAATTCATATTTATTCACATTATTAGATCGATAAAAAGCTCCTCATAAAAATGCATCACCCGTTCGCAGGCGTCTTAGACTAGTCTAAGTTGAAAAAAAAGATAAATCGAATTGTAGGAGAAGCTCAATAATATATGCGTGTATAAGGATATATATATATCAGATTTCGGATTGATATACCCAATTTCTACATATTATAAATTTTCTTCTGAACCTGAAAACCAAAATGAGTTTATACCAGTCATAACTGTTATAATAAATATGTAAACAAAATTGGGCTGTAACATTAATATTGTAAAAAATACATTTTTTACGTTGCCTTATAACAGTTATTTTCAATGGATATTTTTTCCGTTGTCCATAGTTTATTTTAGATTTTTCTTTTTTTACTTGCCTCATAAACTTTTTAAGAAAAGCAATCAAAATGGCATTTCATTATGAATTAGAAAACTTCTTTCGAGCCATAGTTTTGGAAGTATATTAAAAATTAAAATTTAAGAGCTTTCGATTTGTTTACCAAATTTTATTTAATCCAACGAATATCCAACGTTTTGATACGAAAGCTTGCCAGCAAAAAGTATAATCAAATAGTTGGACTTGGTTTTGTCACTTTCGACGCCTTGTTTTCACTATCAACTTCCACGGCTGCCGACACTGTCGGAGCCACTTCAATTTGTGCTGGTTGCTCTACATTTGGTTTTTCCGTACCAGCCTCTAATTTCTTATCGCCCTCCGCTAGCAATTCCACTGCCTCTTCAGGTTCTTCAATTACACGATAGGTAATCGGTGCTGGTTCCCTAGGAGGTAACCAATCTGGTATAATTTTATCATGTAAGCGCCATTTGCCGTACTCATTAGAAATATGCTTTTCAAATACCACATATTCCAGCACATCTTTAGCAATAATTTCACTACCATGCATTAAACGTCCAAAGCGATCATATATAGCCAATACTTGTTGCGTGTGAAAACGCACAGTAACTTGCGCATATAAGTTCTCCTTGCTGATAATATCAGTTACACGCGCATGTACGAGACGTGGTGGCTCCAATGATTGCAGGAAACGCCAATGTATGGTTTTGTCTCGCACGTTATGCATCATTTCGGGATAGCAACGTTCCGTTACAAATTCACGTAACTGATGTTTATTTTTCGCTGCCATTTGCGCATGCGCAGCAATGTATATATCCTGTGCCTGACTGGGAAAATCATCAGTGCTGAACTCTTCTTCATATGAACGTATTTTACGCACTGCCATTACACTTTTCGATTTCTTTTCGAGAAATTCTAGCTTTTGCTTGGCACCAGCCGATGAAATGAACGACTTCTTGCCATCGCCTTCCGGTGGCACATATGGCTCGAAAATACCACCAGTACAGCTTATATGGAATGGACGTTCCAACCAAGGACGTGGTGGTAGCACGCCACGTTCCTTCAAGCGACTGCGCATTTCGTCTTGTGACAAATCGCTAGATTTTTCTTGAAAATTCGGCAAATCAATTTTCACAAATTTTTGAGCACGTTGCTTCTTGAATTTCGGGTTCCAATGTTTTGTTTGCCTGTAACGTAATTGTTGGGACTGCAATTGCAACAATGCCTGCATGGCTGGGGGTTGTAATAGCTTTTAGATAGGGAAGATAAGTGTGTTTAAATTAGGGTTATGAAACAAATTTTGTGCTGTAGAATTGAACAAAAAGAATTTCTCACCTGTAAAGCTTTGATACCGCAACGAGCTGATGCAGCTAGCTCCATTTTTATACCGTTAAAATTGTTTTAATTCAATAGAAAAATAGAAAAACTGGAAACTTTTATAAACAACCCCACAGAAAAGTAACCAACTTGAATTCACTTTAGCCGATGGAAGATAGGTCATAACCAGCTGTTGTTAGTTAGTGCTGCAAGTTTTCGTAATGGTTATATCAAGCGGCGGTTCGAGTACCCGGTAATTACTGAACATTAGATATGTAACTATAAAAAAATACAATTTTTTTATCTGCATTGAATTAAATTGTTTAATTTGACACGGCCTGCGCATTCCGTTATACTGATAATATTTATAATTTCCCCTAATATACTAAGCTCGAACTGCATAAGTCGTTTATATTCTCCATGGTGAATGAGCAATTTCTGAACGAAGCAGCACAAATAATTATTGATTTGTGAATTCACAATTTTTAGTTCAAGTACGTAGAAGTGAAATTTTTATTGTTCCAAGAAAATGTGAAAATTTCGCTATTATATTCAATAAATAGACAGTGGATTACATTAAAAGTTAAAGCAAATACATACGATTTAGTGTGCATATAAATTTTCTTGCATAATATGGATTTCCCACAGCAATTGGAAGGTAAAAAATACAAAGGAGTTGATTATCGAATTCTATGAAAAAATGGGTGGTCACGGCAGCGGGTGGCGTAAGCAAACAATAGCAACAGTAAAACCCTTTGGCTCCTGCATTGGAGAATACACTCCTCGTATAAAAAAGAGTGGGTTGCTAACTTATTGTGCATTTGTTATTGTTGCATTTCACCAACACGCTGCCGGTATGGTGCAAGATAATATTGATTTTTGCTAAAAAGTGCTACTGCATCCCATCTAAAATTTTAATAAATTTGTTAAATTATATTTTTCTCGTTTCTTCTTTTATTTAAGATGATGATAATCTGCACTAATTGGCAAAAAATTGGATAAATACTTTCCAAACCTTCTAAAAAAGAATCCTTTAATTAAAGTGCATATAAAGTGGATATACATACAAAATCGTATACATTTTTCAATACATTAATACATATTTTAAACGTATAGAAATTTTAGTTGAGCGACCACCATCCTCTTTTGATGTTATAATGGAGTCCCCATTGTGTGCAGCAAGTAATCTCGAGAAAAAAGTTCAAACTAGTAAAAGTGGCAACAGGTTTGATAATTCCTCAACACTGGACAAAATGAATTCGAGTATGAATAGCACCCTGGATGATACAACTCCAAGTGATTCTGGAGTACAGTTACTGGATTCCGAGTCCAGTGAATTTATGGCAGAATCAATCACTTCTCAAACTGGTTTTGAATTTGAAGACCTTAGATCGTATAACAACCAAGAGTCTACTATTACTCCTGAACAAGTGGCTGTGGTAGCTGCGCCAGTGCCCACATTGAAAGAACATCATTTCGTTAGTGCTGCGTTTGAAGAAATTGTAGCTGGTGTTGACTCCAATTCCAATGTTACCACAATAGATGCGATCAATGACAACGCAACATCTAATGCACCAATTGAAGATGCGATGACTACAAGCACATGTTCTACATTTGATACAACCGAAAGCATTGTGTACCGTCGAAAGGCCCGTAAGACACCCGTTACCCCCAAAGCACCAAAAAAACGTGTATCCTTCCATGAAGACATTCTGAAAAATACACGCACCGACAACATACATATTGAGCATGGATTCATCACATATAAATCTGGACGTAAAGCACTACAACATGTCGGTGTAGCAGGGCGGTACTCTTGGTGTTCAGAAGGCGATGGAGGGGCTTCAAGTGGAGCAGCTGCACAATCAGAGCTGTGCGCACATACACATGAAGATGAAGAGCAACACAACACTTGTGAACAAAGAAGACGATGTGTTGTTTATCGTAACGCTTGTTCAGATGTGCTAGACTATGGCAACTCAGATGTTTATGATATGGAGGAGCAAAAAGCACTACAATATGACAATTCAGGAGTTTTTGAGTATATACCGAGTGAGCGTGGCGGGGCTGCTGATGGTGCTAGTGTGGGAAATGGTGCTGACGGTCGACAGCAAGTGCTGTACAGGTGTTCATGTTCTAGCTCGAATTCCAGTTTGGACTCGGATGAGAATGATAAAAACTCGAATAGGCAGCAATATGGCCAAGCGAAGAGTAGCTCATGCGATTGTATTGGTATGAGCAACGCCAATAATAACATAATCGGTAAGTCATTAATTAGGATTAGTGAAATGTATGAAATGACTAATTGATGTAGCAACGTTTTTTAGGGTATTTAATTTTTTTATGTGTGGAAATATTTATAACAAGTGTTCTAATTATCTGTTTTTGTACTAAAATTTAAAAAGTTTCTGATATGTATATAATTTAATCTTTAGGCGATAACTGCTACTTCTCTGAACCAAACATCGATAACCTTAATGAAAATAATCAGAAGAAATCAGTTTGGAACAAAGAGAAGAAGCCCAAATCAAGCTGTTTGAAGAAACCTAAACGAAACACCAACATCATATATGAACAGGATCTCAGTACTCGTGTCAAAAAATTCAACGTTCACGACATGAATCAGTTAATCGATAATAGCAGTAAAATGATTATTGGTTCGTTGAAAAGTATTTTCACAATGCCGCTTCCAGAGCGCGGTGTACCAGAAGGGTCTGAAGATCTGCAATCAGTCGTCGAATGTGTACCAGAATTAGAACAGCCAACGCCGGAACACAAACCTAAACTATTGGCCGAATCACAATTTCCACCATCATCACCACCACTAAAGCAAAAACCTTTCCTAAGTAAAAGTCTAGATGGCTCTAAAAAATCACAAGGAGTCAAAAAATTTGTACACAATGTCGATGAACAATTGCGTCGCAAAAATGAGGAGGAAATCTATGCGCCAACACGTCAAAGCAGCGCCGAGAAAACTACAACCGAGACGCCAAGCAAAGTTCTACAAAGGCAAGAGGAAATCGATGCCGAAACAGTAAGTGATTTGATGCACAACCAGTCTAAAGATGCTGATCTGACACGACAACTGCAGTCGGAGGCCGAGCAACCGCCACAGTTTCGCAATAAATTTATTGTTAATTGTGAAAGCACTGTTTTTGAACACACTGGTGTTTCATATTGTTACGACACCAATGAAATGCTTGACCTTGATTTGGATACAGCAAGTAATACGCCTGGAAGTATTGCTTCGAGTTTGCTCTTAGAAAGTGAGACACCTGTAGCACAACCAGAGCCGGATCATATACGTAGTGCCTTTAGCGCTGCACCTATTGCAAAAACATTTTCAAATTTCTTTCGCAGTTTCAACAAAGATTCCAGTTCAACGCCTAATACTAAGAAATCGTTAGAAGCTACCAAAGCTGCAAACATCGCAGATAGTCAACAGAAAACCGGCGTTGATAAAAAATTTTGTAGGTTTTTTTGTTTTTAATTTTTTTTTATATATTTTATATATATATTTTTTTTTAGCACCCAGTCCTCAAACCAACTCATTCATCGAAATCACAGATCTCAGGCAAACCGTCAAACAACCCTTACCAAACACAATTTCGTCATCGACAATTTCAGAGCTGACCCATTCGAGTGCTTGCTCATTACCGCCGACGCAGTCAAAAACTAACAGTGCTTCTATTACAGTCGGTAGCGTGGGTAATAACAGCAACAACAGTCTCGCCATAGGGCAAGATTTACGTGGCAATGTGGACAAGCAACAGCGTCACTTACCTTCGCCACTGAAAAAACGTCTAAGCGGTGGTAATTTTGTCGCACAACCACAACGTTATGGCACAAGTGTTGGCAGCAGCGGCAATACGCCTGCTTGTTTCACAGAGCCCACATTACTAAGTCCCGATATCTTTAACGTCAGCGGCCCAACTCCTCTAGCAAGCACCGCTCTCAGCGGTAGCGGTGGTACCGTCAACTGTGGAGGTTACATTGCTGTACGCGGTGGTTGTGGACGTGATTCAAAAAGCACAATTATCAGCGAGGAATTCGATGATATTATAACAATTACCACGGATACGGATAAAAATGAAAGTGATATTGTCATTGTGGACTATCCCAGTGAAATGAACGAAAGACAGGGAATGTGCGATTATACTAACTTGTTGAAGCCACCTGCAGCAAGTAATGCAAAGACGTCTTTAATTAATCGTTTCTTACGGAATGTCACACAGAAAAAGATACTCGAATCTTCGATACGCAAAAATAATTTCTTCGCAGATAAGCTGCGTAGTGAACAAAAACTCTTTAGGGGAAATTTATATGTGCCAGGTGTTAAGCCAAAGAATTATGAACTCATTGATGATTTGAATGCAGAAATAGCTATGGAGATCGAGATGTCAGGTGCGAATTCACCAAGACGAGAGTTGGCACAAATTGCAAATATTCCGGGCGATGCAACACGTTTCGAGCTTGGTATCGGCGAAATATCTATTGATATTTTTAACGGTAACCATCTGCATATACTGCGGGATCCTACAGAGCTGCTTATGAAGGTAAGTTGACTAGTAGCTCAAGCATCGTTACAGTTTGGACTGAACAATTTGTCAATTCAGTTAATGCATCTCTCACATATTTTCTTTTAGGTCTTCAAATTGTATACTGGTTATAGTCATGAAGGTTATATGACCCCTGTATTAGTTCTCCTTACCGATCGCACACTTTATGTAACGGATTTGGTGCGTAATCGTTTATGTTCTAAATTTATACTACCCTACTCTGATCTCGATGTCATATTGGTAAGCTGTGAAACACAAAATACAAAATACAAAACATTCCTTTTATCTTATCCATCTTCCTCAGATGGGTCCTTTCGGCAATACGGTGTTGCTTAGTAATAGTGCGCGTGATATGCAACAAGTTCTACTTGCTGGTGGTCCTTATCCTGCTAATGGTTTGGTTGCAAATTTGGAAATGTGTGCACGTCGTAGTGGTTCTTCCTTGCCCGCTGTTGGTCAACTCTCATTTGCTCATCTCGCCCCACTACAAGCCTTCGTACGGGAAAATTCATCGGTTAGCCCTACAGATACTTGGATGTATTATGCTGTGGTGAATGTGCCTGCTGGCGTTTTGGGTAGCGAACAAGAGCCATTGGGACCGCATGTTAAAGGTTTTCTCATGCACCGACGTATCAAAGATCATCATCATTCGAGTAACAACTCCAGCAGACATCCCTGGAATCCCGGATATTTTCTGTTGAAGTAAGTGGCCAAATGTACTTTTCTCTTTCAGTTCGTTTGTAATTGGAAATAAATTTTTAGGGCTGGTGTTTTGTATATGTTTAATGATTCAACACAAAAAATACCCAGCTGGGCCGTGGCGCTCGCTGAATGTCAAGGTGCGCGTCGTGCTGTCAAAGCTGCTCGGCCACATTGTTTCGAGATTATTTTGAAGGGTCAACTGCTGCAATTGGCGGCGCCAGATGAGTATGTGGCCTCTGAATGGTTGCAAGCACTTTTGCAGACAGCGAGTGGCGTAAGTTTCAATGAATTTGCTTTAATTTGTATAAAATTATTTCCATGTACGTTATTTTGCAGTTATTCGAAATGCAAGAGAAGCACAAAACTCTTGGCTGCACTCTGGTAGTGACACAAAATCATTTAATCACTTTACGTGAAGACTTCTCAGCACCACTGAAGCAAATTAAAACAAATACCGAAAATCCGACAAATGTACAAGGAGTGAGAAAAGACAGCATTGTTGGTGTAAATGACGAAGTTAATCTAATAACAGAGGAAACGGGCAGCCTGGTAATATATTTCATCTCTGTTGAAATTTTAAATATTTTTAAAATCACATACAAATATCATTTAATACATGGCAATTGTGTTATATCGAACAGCTAAGCTCCGCAATGAGTACGCCAACACGTTTCGCACAAAGATCTTGTTCATCCATGAATTCTACACCCACTAAACTTTCGCAAATATCACAATCTACAACTACAGGTGGTGGCAATACAAACACCCATTCAACATCTACTAATGCCACCACCACCAATGCAACCTCATTAGCCACCACTACCAATATCACCAATTACTCCCGACAACCACAAGCCGAATGTCCCGATCAGTCCAGTTCTCGTCACAACAATATGTACAGCGTTTATGGCAAGAATTCAGGACTTGAGATACTCACATGTGCGGATATTAAAGAAATGACAGGCATTAAAATACCATCGCACAATGATACTTGGTGGTGTGTATTGGAATTCTCTTGTCAAGAGGTGCGCGAAAGCACCGACGATTTGGTGATCTTCTTTGCTAGCAGCTCCGAAATGCAACGCTTTTTGCGCTTACTCGAACAATTGTGGCAGTCAAAGAATGTACGTGAACATTAAAAAGACAATTTTAAATATATTTGAATTAAACCTTTTTTTTATTCTCTTTTAGAACGATTTATTCCCTATTACTGTATTGGATGAAGATGATTTAATAGCTGAACAATGTACTATGCTTTATATGGATATAAATCGTGCGTGGGAACCGCTACTATCCGCCGCATTGGGTTATCCATTGTAAGAAATTGGAACTAAGAGTTTAGTGTGAAGTTATAGCGAATAAATGCAAGATAAAAGTATTTTTTCAACTTTGAAGCTACTATACATATACAAGTCTAGACGACGATATGCGAAAGAATCGTATTAAATAATTAAGCATAAAGCATGGCTTTCATACACTCAAATCTTAACTAAAATTATATTATTACATATATGAATTGATTACATAATAATATTCAACATACATATGCATACATACGTAGCAAAAAATGAAAAGGAAAGCAAAGCAATAGCTAATTAAAAGAGTGGAAGCTCAAAGTATGTAGATATCGCGCGGGAATAGTTTAGGTAAAATACCATACAGAATTGTTTGTATAATCATATTTTCAATTATATATATGTTCATATATATACTATTTATCAAAAATTTTCGGCAAAATGTAAAGGGTGCGGCGTAAAAAACGTTTATATTGGAGTAATTAATCAGCGCCTTTAAAATGATATTGAAACAGCATTGAACTTTATTCGAAAGCTGAAACTTTTAGACTTTTCCGTATCTGAGTTATTAAAAAAAATAATTTGTTAATTAAAATGTTTAATTATTATCAGCGATGCGTAATATATTTTCGCTGGAAAAGTTATTTAGGTATATACTTTCGAATTGCTATACATACATATTTCCTATACTTCTTGGCCCAGTTTATTGCTGAGTTAATATTTTTATCGCTATTATTTACTTCGTTTTATAAATCTTTAAATATATTTAAACTTTTATAATTACAACATTGAATGCCTCTTAAGTAAAACTTAAAATCAGACATTTCATTATGTTATATGGAAACTTATCATTTCGTGCAACATCGCCATTAAAATTAAGTGTGTTATTTATTTTATAGTAAACCGTGATATATTCATTTAGGCTATACTCACACAATTTTCTTTTTTGTTATACTATTTAAAAAGAAAAAAAGAAAAAATGTATAAAGACACTTTGAGTTTTTTTGATGGGAAATCGAAAATTTTAAATTTTATCTTAAGCTGAATGAAAAAAGATGTATTTTAACTGTTTCTTTTTTTTTATTTTTTGAATTATGAATATTTCATACATATACATACATATATGCATATGAAATCATGCATCGTTATTTTCATTTTTATACGTATTCATTTAGTTAGGCTTGCAGGAATATGTGATGTATTTTTGCATTACTTATCGCTTTCGTATTGTGATTTTTTTTACGATATAAGTATATATTTTAATATGTTTTTAATTTTAATTACGCTTTTGTTAATTACAATAGTTTTTTAGCGCGTGTGCGTGTTGCAGCGTTGACAAATGCACTTGTAGAAAACAGCACAAAAGAATTAGGAATTAGTAATTAAATTCTCAAATAGCAATTTTTATTGCGAACAAATGTTATAGCAAAATAAACATATATTTTGAAATTTCCAATATTTATTTGTTAATTTTTTATTTATTTTTTGGTACAGTTATATGCATGACTGCAATATGCAAATGAAAAAGTGTAATGGCTACATAAGTAAATACATAGGAAAATGTTACAATTTACACAAATAAATACATACATACGTATATACAAAAGTATATACACCTATGAATACTCGTACAATAATACATAATAATTGCATGCAAATAAATAAATATATATTATTTATGTATAAGGCAATGGATGCGAAATTTGGAATACTTGTACGGCTATTACTGCTGGCGGCATAAATATATCGGCATATATGACATGCATACACATATATATGTATATGTATACACAAATATACTTCAACCTAGCATATTTATTGCATAAGTTTTGATCTTAAATTCAACATATTTAAACAATATATAAAAATCTATGCTACACAACAATGGTATTATACATTTAAATATACATACATACATTTACAAAAAAATATGTCTTGTCAGAGTTAAAGTTTTCATACAATATAAACAAAACCCAATAAAGGAACTTTTTACTTTCAATCCTACGCTTACGCTTTGTTATGGCATAAAATCAATCAAAAAAAATTTTAAGCTCAAATAAGAAAATATTTTTGAAGATTTATTGAATTTACTTACCAATTTTTAAGAAACACTTTTTTTCTTAGTATTGATATTAAAAATATAAATATTTGCTTAAAGCGAATTTTGTTGCCTTCTATTCAAACAAAATAGTTTAAATAGTTTTTTTCAATGTTTTGCACTAAAAAAATCAAAATATATACTTAAATTTGTTTGCCTTAAACTTCAGCTTGAAATACTAATTTGGCCGAAACTTATTCACGCTCATTGAATATTAGAAAACGCGAACCACCAAAGCTTGCGACGCAAAAAATTTCAATTGACACTAATCTGTTTATAAATTAATCAGTAATTTGATAAAGAAAATATTATTATTTTCCGCATTGCAAATTTTTTTACACGTTTCAAAAAATTAAAAAAAAAAACAACAACTTTGTCTCAAAAATAATGCTGGTCATTTGATTTTTATTTAAAGCATTTTTTTTTTTTTTTTTTTTTTTTTTTTTTTTTTGGACAAATATAAAATATCCACCCTTCTTGGTATTGGTATGAAAACCTTTAAGCTACATATACACATATAAATATATATATATAAATATAAGAAATAATATGAAAATAATGGCAGAAACCAAAAATAGCAAATAAAATATGGTAACTACCAAAGAACATCAAATGATTGTGTCTTTTATTTAACAATCTAACGAAAGGGCTAAATGTGTAGGTTCCAGAGGGAAATTAGAAATTGAGTGGGGGAAGTTATTACTAAACTTCTTTGTGTTCTTACTCTTCTTTCGAGTACGCCATTGAAGGGTACAAAATTCTTAAAGATGTTTATGGATTCTGGGCGAATGGCGTTTAAAGCATGGCCATATTGACTCGTTGTAGACGAGAACTGAATGTAGGTTGATCTTCAAGCAAATGTCTGTTGGGAATGTCACAAGGTTTACTGTGACACTCATAAGAGCGGAATTCTGATACTATTGGAATATCTTCATATACGTCTCGATAATCGCCGGCGCCCAAGCACGACCAACATTTCTCTAACCTTACCCCAGGTGCTGCCAGCTAAAAATTTGAGAGCTTTGTATTAGTGGCAATGGTAGTCCTATGCGGAGTGAAGGAATGAAGGTATATCGATTGTGAATCTCAGTAGCTTTTGGGTTATTTATTGTCGGAATTTTTATGTCATGGAATTATGTCAGATAATACTGGTTAACGTCTGTATCTTCCTCTGTTTCAACCGGCGGATGCGGTATCGAAAGGTTTCAGTGCTGGAGTGGGAAAACGCTGTATGGATGAAAATCCATTTTAATATTAAATTTCATGTTGTCATTATTCACTACCAGACCCATTCACTTCACCTCCTTGCCCAGTCTGAAATCCCCGAAACTAATGCCATGATTATTGTGGCCGAAGATATCAAATATACGCTAGAAAGTTATGCCTTCGGAGGTGTCTTTTCTAAGGTTTGGTGAATACTGAATGTATAATTCATTGACGGCGCGCATCAATCTCTTTCTCACAACAAATTCAAGTCATATATGCGACATCACGGAGGTGATATTTATCGTAAACTGTAATTTCCCCTCCTTCTGTATTGGACACATTCCAGTTCGAACGCATGTGCTACTCTCTTCCGTGCACATTCGACAAAGGAGCTAATGTATGTACCCTGTTAGTAGCTCAACCGGTAATCTGGCTGCGCCCGCGCTTTCATAGTCAAATCTCGGAACGTTTATTCAGTCATAACATTTTGGATAATCCGAGTTCACCAACTCCGGTTGTAGCACTTTTTATGTTCCCTCCACGATTTGAAAATTGTCCTTGGCAACTTTAAAACTGGGTTGGCGGGAAAATCCAACTTAATTTCGAAACTTCTCCAAATGGGTGAGACTGATCGATGATTATGAATTTATAAAGGGAAGACTTCTCCACCAGGAGATGGCAAACGCGTTTCCCCAATCGATGAAGATAGAATAAATGTTCCATTGCCCTACTATGAAGAATGTCGAGTAGCAATTTCGCCCCAGAAAAATAGCCGAGGCCGATGAACTGTTTCCTTTACTATGGTATAAGCCACTCCAATATCGCATATAAGGTTCTATCGAGCGTAATGCGTGAAAGACTAAAGCTCACTGACAACAAATCTATTAAGCTCGGGAAATCTATCATTGGCTTCAAGAAGTGCGCAGTGAGTTCTGATTTCTCTATACTAGTTCACTTTAAAGTCGTAAATAATTTTGTCTATCTTGGAATCTGCACTAGCGCCAACAGTAATGTCATCCTTAAAATCCAATGCAGTATGCCTCTAGTCAACAGGTGCTACAAATGAAAAGTAAAGTCCTCTCTCGACGAATAAAAACCAAGACAAGTCGCTCATCATTCCCATCCGTCGTTATGGTAACGATGAGCTGTGCGAGATATCATCAGAGACATTGACATATATCCGCGAATCAAGAGACAGCGGCATAGCTCATCATTCCCAGATGAAGAGCAGTCAAAAATTGACCTCACTTGCGTGAACTTCTACACATAGCCTCGGCCACAGCCTTCCAGGCATAACCTAGCAGCCTGGTCAGCAAGTGAAAGTCTTCGATGCAGTAGCCACAGTAAAGAATAAGATATGCTTTTGTGCTTAGCTTGTTTCCAAACCTACCAAAAAAAAAAAGCTCCTTAACTCATTCGCAAACCTTCAACAAACTGCTCATGCGCAAAATTTTCTGCAAACATTTGCCTCCAGTAAATACTATGATTGTTTGGCAGAAGACAACAACCTGCAGCACAAGCAATAAAAGCAATCATGGGCAGGTGGGAGGCAAGGTGAAGAAAAAGAGAGAAAACGTCGCTTTTCTAAGAATTCGCATTGCCACTACAAAGCACTCCAAAGGACGCGCCAGCAATCATTCAACGTTCGGCGACAACAATTTAAGGACGTAACAGTGTGATTAACGGAAGTGACTGCAACCGGATATATGTACATATGCATACACTCATACTCGTATGTATGTACACAAACAGATGTTGTAATTGTTGTTGATATTGTATTGTGTTATTGAATAGTGGAAATGTCTACAGACAACAAAATAACGGCAAATGAATCATTTTTACAATAACAGTAATTTACAAATCAAATTTATTTAATAGTAAGTTATACCCTCAAGTTGAGTGCATTCAATAATAATAAATACAACAAAGTGGAAATATAAATTTGTGGGATTTTCAACAAATAATTGAACATACTCGGTTACATAGTATATATTGCTATGTATGTGCTTTAATACAATATATACTTAATGGAGTAACTTATGGATATATATGTATATGTGTATGTGCATACCTTAGATACATATACATATCTACGACTATATATCAATACGCTCGTGTGCAAACTTTTTCGTTTGATTGTATTTGTGTTGAAAAGTGAAAAGCTACCCTCCAGGCAAGGAAAGCATAAACACTAGGCTACGGCGGCAATGATGTATATATATATATATATACGAGTATATATGTATGTATGTACATGCACAGAGCCACGCGCACAAGAAATATGTGATTGAAATGTAAACAACAAAAACAAATAGTGAAGTTTAACAATACTAGTCAACGAGATGTACAATAACAATTACTACCAACACTATATGCGCAGTTTGAGTGTGGCTTTTCACAACAATTTCAATGGCAACATCATGTGCACACACATACATACATATATTTTTACGACTCTGCTCTCTATTTCACAAGTGTTCTCCAACGATATTCTTGCGCGGAAAATATGCTCTCAACTACGAGTTATTTAAATAATAAGAGCAAGCTTGTCGGCCGACTGATCAAGAGTTGTTAAAAATAAATGTTTATGAAAAAGTTTACTAAATTTATGTATTCACGAAAATAATTATGTAAAATTGATTATTGTGAAACACCCAGTTACACAGATTTGTATTAAGACATTTCCGATGG